CGCTTTGAGTGGAGTGTCCAGAAAAGCGCTATATAAGTGTAAGCAATTATTATTATTATTATTATTAAAAGAGTAGGGGTGTTACCCCAGTGTCCAGGCTAAAATCCCCCCTGGTCTTTACCAGTCATGGCCTCCCAACAATCATCTCTGAACTGGCTTCATCACTCTGCTCTCCTCCCCACTGAGAGCTGGTGTGTGGTGAGCGTTCTGGTGCACTATGGCTGCTGTGACATCATCCAGGTGGGGCTGCACACTGGTGGTGGTGGAGGGGATCCCCATTACCTGTAAAGCGCTTTGAGTGGAGTGTCCTGAAGAGCGCTACATAAGTGGAAGGACTACTACTAACAATAATAATGAAAATGAGGTCATCAGGAAAATGAGTCAATAAAAACTATCTAAGGTATGTCGATATACTTAAGCACATTTCATTCGCCGTGTAAAGTTTGATGCAAGTCATGACTCTGAAAAGAACGCACACCCTAATAAACAAAGTGCAAATGGTTTCTGTACCTGCGACTCTGTTCTGCTGTCAGGAACTACAGCATTACTGACGGCACCTGTACTAAATCCAATCCGCTGAGCAGGCTGCAGGTTCACCTTATCCTCCACACCTGCAGACAGGCCACACCCTCCTTTCCTCTCCAGCGGCGCCTGGAATGAGGTCTGATTGTGTGGAAACACATTCCTGACCTTCAAAACCCTCCTTCTCCTCCCTGCTTCAGGAAACTTTATCCCTGGGAGCCTCCTCCCCGACCACCAGCACAGCCAGCCCTGACTGAGGCTGCCCCCTGGCAGGTATAGTTCTCCCCAGCCCGCCTCCTACACTCGAACCTACCGACTGACAAAGGAGCAGGCCGAGGAATGGCAGTGAAAAAGTATTACCCAAAGAGTACAGATTTTATTTTTAGTAGCAACTGAAATGAAATTGTGTATATAGAAATATCCCAGAACCCCGCTTCTAGAGAACCCTGACCCAGTGGAAGACTGGGAGTCCAGGAAAGTACTGGTGAATTAAACAAGCCATTAACTCAAGATAATGCTGGTCCTTCAGGGTTGTGGGGTATACTGGTTTAATTTAACACATCGCCTGCTCAATCGAGCACAATGGAATTGTTCCAGGTCTTAAACAAACTGGTGATTTCAAGGGGAGTAACCAGGCAGTTACTAAATAAACTGCTGGACTGGGGGCTCTCCTGAGGTACTGAAAACCGCTGTGTGGTCCCGATCGCAGAATACACAGCGAACCCATCACCATTTAAATTACAGAGGAGTGTGCTAAACTTGTACTCAGGTAGTTTACAAGTCTATGCACAAAATAGTAATATACTCAGTTCTGCAGCAGGTTCCCAGGAAGTTGTGCAAAGCCCTCAGTCTCATTATAATTAATGCACTCTTGGTTTGCATGTATATCCCCGCAACAAGATGAGCCTGTGAACTCCCTTCAGATCTACAGCTTGTGAGCCATCTCTTTCAATAAAGCAGGATGCGAAAGGTGAGGACTTTCAACGCTGCACACACCCTCCCTTGGGGAACACTTTATTAAAATAAAAATGACTGGAAGGTTGCCGGTTCAAATCCCGCGGCCGGCAG